ACCACAACTGCCTTCCGTTATGATCAAATTTGTAAACCCTAGAAATTTATATAAGTTTTTCCTTTCATAGCTAACATTATAAATGTTGATAGAAGACTCCTCACGATTGGTACTATTTTAAACAAAAAAAAAAAAAATTTACTGGAAAGTAACATACATTTTTTATGAGCGTTTGAATCTAAAATGTGTACAACATTGAATTTTCAATTTTTATCAGTAAATTAAAGAATTTTCATTTATCAATTATTGATATTTTGTTATAATTTAAAAACGAATAATCCTAGAAATGTTAAAATTAAAATTTATCTTACATGGTAAAATGTTTAAGCAATTTTAACTCTTTTTGAGGTATTTATAACTGAGAAATTTTTCAATTATTTTTACTTGATTTTTTGGATTTTGTTGTATTTCCAAAATGAATAACCGTAGGCTCTTGAAATGTTTACCAAATATTCATATTAGCATTTTCCATACTTCGTAAATTCTTTAAACACTTGACTTTTTATGAACTATTTATAGCTATTAATGAGAAAGTTTTTCAAATTGAATTCAAATATAACACATCCACTACTCTATATAGGTGATCCTGGAGATCGTATCCAGCCTATCCATTTACAACGTTTGTGACGGATTGCTAGACGCTCAAACTTTTAACATTCCCGCCAAAGCGTCTAGCCTTATCTCCAATCCATATCACTAATCCTTATCACAAATCCTAAACTTTCGTCTTACAACCTTTGCGACTTTTATAATTCATTGTCTCCAAAATCGGTACCCACTCCCAGCGAGTCCGATGGGCCCCGAGTTACACTTAGAGCTAGTAATAACTAAAGTAATAAGTAGGTAATATCACATTATCACATCAACAAAACATTAAAACAAAATAATATTCAAATTTATTAAGTCTATAAATACCGTGCTTATCACTAAGATAGTAATAATTGTTATCAAATGAATAAGAACAACATAATATAATTTTAATGTTCGTCGACTTTAGTTGAATCATTTGAATCATTCGATTAGGTATTTTAAATTTGAACGGAAATAGTTAAGACAGACTACTATACATTCGTACAGTGTTGTATTCATACGTTTTAGTAAAAAGTTGCCATGCATAAGTGTATTATTTTTAGTAAGACATCCAAAGTATTGCCTCGCCACATTACCTTAATTTTCATTTGTAAGTATTATTTTCTAGTTGTACTGTTAATATTTCTTAATAATATGGCGCCAGTCTAATTTGTTCACAAATATAGATTTCCAAAAGATGAAAATAGAAGAAAATAAATTTTCAAATTAAATGTTTACCCAATTTCTATCTGGAGCAGAATCTGCGGTAATTATTTCACAATCAGTAATTATAAACAAGTCTCAGTATATATTAGTGGGTATTATGGCCAGAGGCTGTCAGAGGCTGCAATCCAAACCGCATGTCTGTTTAGAGGAGTAAAATAAACAATATAAAATAAATTTTAATAATTTATAGCAACACTGGTACCACTCTGAGCACTACTAGTAAAATACTAAAATTGTAATACTTTGTTAAAATATTTAATTTTGTCTTCTAATTATAATTTCTATGAATAACAGTAAAATTAATTACTTTAATAACAATAATATTATACAATATACATAGTAATACAGACTGGCAGACAGTCTTTGCTCAGAATTTTTTTTTCGTATGCAATGGTTTATCATTGAATTCAAATTTCACATTAAAGTAATTTCTCTTTCAATTATGAGGTATACACGAAACAAACTATATAGGAGAGCAGTTACCTACTTCCCCATGTTTTGTTGTTATGAATAATATACTGGTGCAAATTTAACATTAATTAATATTCATATCATAATAATAAATAATAATTGGATATATTTTTTAAGTAGAATTATATTATTTAAAATATACAAAGAAAAAAATTCAACTATGGAACTTTTAATTATTATTAAAAAACCGGGAAAAAAAATAATAATTCTATGTGTATAATAATTTGAACTAAATGGCATATTTTAAATTACTAGTCATTGAAAGTTGCAACGGTTTTTTCACGATTGACTTGAAACGTTTTTTTTATACTCAAGGCAACATTAAATTGGAAGGGTCAAGCCCTAGAACGTTGAAAAAAAAAATTTATATGTGAAGTTCATTTTGACAATAATATGTTTATGTGTGTTCAAAGGCAACGCCTTATACCTTTGGCTGTTCCAAATGTGTATACTGGTAAGTAATTTTAAGACAAAATATACTTATGTTCAGTGGCGTGGCAAACTGAAAATTTTCCAGAGGCAAGTTACAAATATTTTAAGTATTAATGCATAATAATGTAGGTATTAATATAATATAACTAATTATATTTCAGATCATTAATGACTACCTATTGAGTATATCATATTATCATATTTACTAGGGGACCAATAGACTGCCATCCACCCCTCTATTTTAAAAAAATCTCTGAGGCAATTTCCTCTGAAATCACTGTTTACCACGCCACTGCTTATATTGTTATGCATGCAAAGAACAATTAAAACATTGTTTAGAAAACAATTGTTACAAATTACAATATATAATATCTGATACATTTTTTACTTAACTTAATAGAAAATAAATATACTATCGCCAGATAAATTTGAAAATGATAATGAATGGGATTCAGCACAAATTGAAAACATACCAACAAAGGTTCAAAAAGAAAACTGTTGTCTGAGGAAGGTATGAGATTCCACAAAAAATATTTAATTTTTAATTAATACCATTATCTTCTGCAACCACTTTCTCAAACTAATAGGATCAATCATCTTTGTATTCCTATAGGACTACATGTCTACATGTCCTACATGAGTTTTCTCAGTGAAGCCCACTAATATTTTTGATATTAATTTTAATGAAAACAGTGCTCTATCTCCCTCCACCACCTCCCTTCAACTTAAATTGGATATTTTTGGTTTGTTACACTTACCATTTGTTCTATTTAATTGACTAGACCCCAACATTCCGATCCATATTACATCAACTGACCTACAAATGTTTTATAAAATCAACGACATCCTTTAGTGCCAAAAATAATAAACACTTCTGTTCATTTCATCCATCAAAACATAATCCTATTTTTGGTATCAATCTAAAAACCAATCCGAAGCAAACAATTTATATAGGTACATAAATATCTAGGTTAAAATTTAAAGAAAAACAAACGTTTACAATTACTTCTGTTTTCATAAGATTTTTATTGTAAAATTAAACATAAATTTTTTTTAAGTACACTGCTATCATTTTATAAACTTATAAACAATACCTTGATGATTGAATTTATAATTGCTATAATAAATTTTATTTTATTTTTATACAGTGATTTTTTTTTCAATGAGTTCTTTAGTACTCAATTAATTACAAATAATATTTTTTAGTCTATCATAATTTTTAAATTGCGTATTCTTAAATTAAAATTAAAATATTATACAAGACTTGTTAGTTGTTATATGATCATTGATAAAGTTACCTTCAGCTACTATAAAAAATTAAATACATTAGAATATATTCATTATAAAAAAGCTAATATTATCAATTACCTACTTTAAATTCTATCTACACTAATGAAATAAAAACTAATATATTATGATGTACATTTTATAGATTCACCATCTACAGTTAATGGCACTACTAATCCCAACACGCTACATTATTCTGACATTGTATCCACATCAGGCACATTCATAGTTACTCCTGACAAATTTAAAGTCTTAACGCCAACTAAAAAATATCAAAATTCGAAATCTATATCATCACCACAGTTAATATTTCCTAGTTCTAGCAGTATTTCATCCGATTTATCTAGAACAAAAAAATGGGTACAAGAGCTATGTAAAATGCCATCTCCAACAGTTAAAAAAAGAAAGGAACTTAATAATCAAACATTAATTAATACTTGTAAGAGACAAAAAAAAATTATAAACCGAAAAAGAGCAATTATTAGCCGTTTAAAAAAAAAAAGATCAAAAAAAATACTAAAAAAACAAAAATATAATACACAAACTTTAATTCAGAGCACAAAATTGAAATCACAAAATTCAAAAGCATTAGTCACCATGCAATTACAACATAAAAATAGAAAGCCATGGACACCCGAAGAAAAAAAAATTGCATTTTCAATATATTATAAATTTCCATCAACCTATAAGTACATGCGTAAGAATAAAATAACCCTACCAGGTGAAAGTACTATGAGACGTTGGTTGCTAAGTATTAATTATTCTCTCGGTTTCCCAATTGAATACATGCAACAGATCAAATATAAAGTTTCATCGATGAATTACCACCAAAAAAAATGTGTTGTTTTACAAGATGAAGTTTCTTTAATGAATTGTCTAGAATTCAACAAAGCACTTGATTTTATAGAAGGCTATCAAAATTTAGGGCAATTTGGACGATCTTCAGATCCATCCAAAAATGCCTTTGTAATAATGATTCGTGGCCTATATCAAAATTGGAAATTTCCATTTGCATTTTTCTTTAGTGGATCTGGTGTAAAGGGAACAGACCTAGTTGAAATAATAACTGAATGCATAAAAAAACTGAAACGAGTTGGATTGCTGCCAGTAGGTATTGTGTGCGATCAAGGGTCTCAAAATCGTAGGATGTTTGATTTACTTGGTGGGACAAAAACTGACCCAGTAGTCGACATTAATGGTAAAAAAATGTCTAATATATGATGTCCCACACCTCATAAAAAGTTTACGTAACAATTTATTAAACGGTGACATAGAAATTGGCAGTAAAAAAATTTGTTTCCAAGATATCAAGGACACATTTGCAATTGATGTGAATAGTAAGACAGTTCGTTCAATGCCAAAAATAACAACAACTCATTTACATCCAAATGCGTGGCAAAAATGTCAGTGAATTATGCAACAAATATTTAGCAAATCAGTTTGAGCATCAATACGTAAATGTATCGCTACTGGAGAATTAACATCAGGCACAGCAGAAGACAGCAGAATTTGTAATGCAAATCAATGACACTTTTGATATTTTAAACAGTAAAATCTTATACGACAAAAATCCTAATTCTCGGCCACTAAGTGAAGCTAACAAAAACTTATTTCAAACTTTAAAAAATACATGCAACATATTCCTCGAAGCTAAAAAACTACATAAAAACAAAAATATAAAGTCACAACCTCCGTGCTTTACCGGAATTGTTTGGTCAATCAACTCGATTTTAGCACTGTATGAAATTGAAAAATCAGATGTATTGAATAAATGTGATACTGAAAAATTGTATTTCTTATTGACCAACCGTTTATGCCAGGACCCACTAGAAAATCTTTTTTCTATAATGCAGCAAAAGAACGGGTATAATCGTAATCCAACTTCAAGGATGTTCAGAAGTTGTTATGCAAACATTTGTACATTTAGCCTTATGAAATGTTCAGAGTTGTGTAACTGTGAAGAAGACAATGATGTTTTCTTACAGTTGATGTTCTATCTGATGTGTCTAATACTGAAGGAACCACTATTGAAAACAAAAAGATGAAGTATTAGATGAATTAGAAAATTCATCATCAAATTCAAATTCAGATTTGTCTCCAAATACATATGTTCCAGAAGAAACAACCACATTAGAAACATGTTCCATTGTATACTTTGCTGGTTATTTAGTAAGAAAATGTCTGGATTTTTTCAACTGTAGCGTCTGTTTAGAACAATTAATTAAAAACAATGATGCGATGAACGACAAAAATCAATTATTGATTTTGGATAAAACATATAGATGTGTTATTCATGGAGGTTTGAAGACACCCACAGATGAATTTGTAAACATATGTACAATGTGTTTAAAATACTATGAAAAAAATTGGGAGTCTATAAAAAGTAAAAAAGGAATAGTAAAAACATTAATGCAGTCAATATCTTTATCAGATATAATACCCTCATTGGACAGCCATCCGTGCAAAGAACACTATTTATACATTGTTCGCCTACTGTTTGTTACTAAAATTTTTCATACATGTAAGCAAATTAATGAACAATCAACAATTAAATCAATATCATCAACAACTAAACCACATTCCAAGTTAAGAATTTTAAATAATCAATGATCTGTATCAAAATCAATATAAAACAATGTATTATAAAATATGAATATTTTAAGACCATTGAAGATTATCATTATACATGTTTTAATATTAAATCAATAGTATTAAACTTAATTTTTTTTTTTAATTGTTTTTATCAACAATGAAATTTTTTTAATTCATAACCTAATTCACATTATTATATATTTATAAATTGTATCATCATTATTATTATTATTATAACTAAAATCAATTGTTTTTTTTAAAATAATATTATTATGTTATTCACTAAAAATATTAAATAGGTAGTAAGTTGTAATATAAGCTAATATAAGCTAATATATTTTATTATAAAAATTATTATTTTATTTGCATGTGATTAGTTTTTTCTAATAAAGAAACATTTCTGCGAAAATGGCAAATCATTAATTACATTTGTCAAAATTTAAAAAATCATTTTTGTAAACAGTTATACTTAGATAAATTATTATTACAATTAATTATAATAATTATAACTTTTACCAGTAAAATTACTTGTATTAGAAATATCTAACTTAATACAGGTTTTACTATGGAAATTTGAAGGAATCATTGAACGATCATAATGACCGTACTCGTGCCATGACAGTAGTGTTATTGTCATCAATGACTCATCATCATGTGTTCTCGAATCGCTTTCAATGAGGGCATGAGGCTAGAAATTGTATTTACATTGTTAACATTCTGAAAAACATAATCAAATTACTAATTTAAAATAACAAAAGAATACTTTAGAAAATTAATAACTAACCAAACATTATGAGATCTTGAAATAAATAAGTTTTACTAGTTATAGTTTTTAATAAACCTTCAGTTGGTGTACACATTAATATTTTAGATTAATTTTGATAATTTCCTGTTATAGTTTAATTCTTGATGTGTTTCATTTAGGTGTTATTTGTAAATCCGGTTTTGATTACATCCAAAATACCTGAAAAATAAGTAAAAAAGTTGTATGTTACACTCTTTTATTTTATTTTATTAACTATTGTCATAGCTCTGTACAGCTCAAAATTTAAAAAGGCTGACAAGTGGGTAGGTACCGCTGTACAGTAGTTGTTGAGAATTTAACTGTAATGGATGTGTTATATTTGTGCCTATGTATCTTTAATATTTTTGAACTTACATTAATGAAATATATAATGAACAGTGCATTAAATTTTCAAACTTTTTTACTAAGTGAAAGAATCTACGAACTAAGTTCAAATATCATTGCAGATAATAATTTAAATTTTTTTACAAAATTTGAAAAATTTCTCAAGGCTATAACCTACCACATAAAACACACATTAAAGGATTTACTTAGGTATTGGTGCAGCGGTATTTAAACGACAATGTTATCAACGATTATTTCAAATTGATCAAAAAACGTAATCCCAGCGTTTATTCCTTTGACACCTTTTTTTATGAGCAGTATACAAAATATGGATATCCAAGTGTGAAGCGTAGTTGGACAAAAAATGTTGATATTTTTTCAAAAGAAAACTTTTCCAATCAATATTACAGGACCCGGTTTTGAAAGTGTTCGAAATTATCTAGATAATTATTTGTTCGTCTTTTAGCTTATCTAGATAAATAGTTATAAGGTATCTAAACGTTCATCTTGGATATTATTTTTACTAATCTAAATAAATTCATCTAAATAAATTTTTTATTGATAAAAATCGCGAAATTGTACAAATGCATTTTTAAATATTTATACCATTAATAATATTATGTTAATATTTTTATATAATAATCAAACAAATTATATTAAATTGCACGTTCATTACATTTTTGATTGTATATACCTATAGGTTCTTCAATTTCAGATAAGACTACCAGCATCCAAATCTGACTTGAAGGCCTTTAAGAATAAGTATTGAATAGGTACCTACCACATAAAACACACATTAAAGGATTTACTTAGGTATTGGTGCAGCGGTATTTAAACGACAATGTTATCAACGATTATTTCAAATTGATCGAAAAACGTAATCCCAGCGTTTATTCGTTTGACATCTTTTTTTATGAGCAGTATACAAAATATGGATATCCAAGTGTGAAGCGTTGGACAAAAAATGTTGATATTTTTTCAAAAGAAAACTTTTCCAATCAATATTACATGACCCGGTTTTGCCAGTGTTCGAACTTATCTAAGTTGTACATCAGGGTACGTTAAATTTTCCGTTTTAGGTGGTACTATAGCTGGACTTGTACCTCGCCGGCGCCCGCGAAGCGTCTATGCTGCGAAGAAGACCAAGCCTCACTGATAAAGCACCGGTTCACTAGTGGTCCGAGCCCCGAGGGTATTGCGGACCTACACCAAAATTGCCTGCCAATCCGGAGGCGATACCAAGCTTGGCTTAAGAGTGTCGGCCAGCCTAGACTCCAGGAGGCCAGACTCGCTTTCACTTCAGCTATAGGAGGGAACTGCTAACAGAACTCAGAGGGGCTAAGAAAGATTGTTAGTCAGACCTCTGCTTAGGTGGATAACGACCAGACTTAATGTAATTTCCAAATTAACGTATTAAAAGTTCTGAAGCTTAACCCCTGTGTGTATCTCTTCAGCCCCCAAATCGGGGTGAAATCTACCCTCTCATTATTTTTATTATAATTCGTTAACTGTTGAACTCCTGAGAACAATGTATAGAATACAAATTAAAGACAGTGAAGGAACATACGATCTCATTTACTTAAATTTTCACATGTGTATCATTAAGTAACATTTGTTTGCCCAATGTATATAATTGTACACCAAATTGGATATACATGATACTGATGATGGTTCTGGTCTAGAGTAAAGAATTTCCGATATAAAAATAATTGTAATCACGATTCCGGATTTATCTTTTGGTCATACAGACATCAGTCAAAGTTCTAAAAACTGAAAGATTATGCATAGATTCACATATTGTTACACTATAATTTTTAAGATTCTGAGAGAAACCAAGCATGTATAATCATCGCAGTGTTTTCGTTATAATTTCTGATGCACAATAACTTTTATGATCGTATGAATAATAATATATTACATGCACGGATAATTATTAAACGCAACAGTTTTTTTTCTATTTAAGTACCTAATTAAATACCTATGTAAGATCAAAAATAACTTTTGTATGGGGGGGGGGGGGATCAGTTGCAAACAAATTATTATGGAACGAAAATACCTAAACCTAGGTATGTGCTCATTTAAATACCTAATAAATGATAAAACATATATATATTCAATACATTTTATTTTAAATTCTACAAGTAATTATAGAACAAAATTTAATTTTCTTTTTTTTTTAGTCAATAATATTTATTATTTAAGCAATTTTTAGCTTTCAATGAACAAATTACTGATAGCTATTAGCTAGTATGTTGTAGGTATATCCATGATAGTTGATACTATACAAAATTGATAATGTTTTGGTATAAATGCGTAAAAACCATCGTGCAATAACCTTATATTATACCATAATAATATTTCTTTTTCCAACGTATAGGAAAATGTATTATTATATCGTCTCCGCCGCGTTGATATCGGTGACGGTGGCGACGGCCCGTTGCTGGTCTGCCACATATTATTATTCTTATAATAATTTATTATACTTGTATATATAATATACATATTATCAAATATCACATAATACGATTATATGAATATGAAATAAATATATGATTACTGATTAATATTAAGTAAATTATTTTTAATAAATTGTTGAATATTGTGTTAAAATAAAAATTTACAAAAAATCCTTGCCATTTTTTTCCTTGTAATTTCCTTACATTAAGTCATTAAGAACACTATTTTATAAAATTTAAAAAAAGGCCTATGGGGGGGGATCTGATCTATTTGGCTATACTATACGTAAGACACGTGTAATATTATTAAGTACCTTATTTCTAAAAATAATATAATCATAAAAATACGAAAAGGTACGTAACTGATTGTTGCTGGCTGAAAATAAATAAACATTCAAACGAGATAACCACGGATACTAGCAGGTCGGTATATCGACGCTGAATAATAAACAAATTTAATTATTAATTTAGCTAAAAAAAACAGTGTGCACTATATTTAACAATTTTTCTTTTTGGAATTTTGCGTCGATTTATATAGTATCTCCAAAATAATATACAACCGAAAGCGATCACTTTAAGATGGAGTTGATGTTCATATATCAGAAAACTGTCGAATATTGAGGAAGTAGTAGGTAAGACTAATAACGAAATTATTAAATCCAGCGATATTGATCATTGTACAAATTATAGACCTATATGGCTATATCCTTCTATCTCTTTCCATAATCCAAAATATTTGAAAAACGATTAGAACAACGTTTGATTGATTTTTTGGATATACATACATTTTTACTAAAAACCAATTTGGATTTTGGAAAAATAAATCAACAACATTTGCACTGTTATTAGCTTCGAATTGTATTCATTCTAGTAGATATTGACAATGACAATAATAAGGTAGGTAATTGGTTTGCATTTAGATTAAAAAAATTGCTTTACATAAAAAAATATAAAAATATTAATGTGGTATTATTGGTATTGCTCAAGATGTTTTTATTTCATATTATTTTTCAAATAGATTGCAATCATTGTATTTTACATTGTATCAAAGTTGGACCAAGTTTGTCGTATTCCACCTATGGTGGATTAATATAATCAGTTAATACAAAATCCTAACCATAATAATGTCAGATGAATAAAAAAAAACCAAATTTAATTATTTTTAAATTAGCCTGTCTTCTTCCCAGAGTTCGTATATACACATAAACATTAATTTATTCATATATATATATATATTGACAAAAAACAATAATAAAAATCAAAAAACATAGCCGATTAACCAATAGCAACCAATATAAATTATAATAAACTCAGATTTTCTACTTTTCCGGTGGATTTACCTAAAATGTTCTTTCTTATTAACTTTCTCCCGGTGATTACAAAGGACCAGCTGTTCTCGATTGATGAGGTAACGACCATTTTTCACTCTCCAT